GATTAGATAAATTTATTTTAAAAAATGATATATTAAAAATAAATTAAAATAGATGTGAGATAGTGAGAGATTGATTGTACGATGTTAGAGTAAAAAAATAAAAAAGAAAAGAAGAAAATAAACATTTTCGGATATAAAAAAAGAAAGAATAAAGATTCTATTCTTTAATTTTGTTCTTTACAAATAATATTCTCAAGGAAGAATACTTTATTATAATATTATTATGTGACTACATATATAAATTTATTTAAATATGATATTAAAAATAAAATAAAATAGATGAGAGATATAGAGATTGATTGCACGAGATATTAGAGAGTAAAAAAATAAAAGAAAAGAGAATTAAAAAGAAGAAGAAGAAAATAAACATTTTCAGATATAAGGAAAGAAAGAATAAAGATCCTATTCTTTAATTTTGTTCATTACAAATAATATTCTCAAGGAAAAGAATACTTTCTTATAATATTATAATGTGATTACATAAATTTATTTTTAAAAATAATAAAATAAAATAAAATAGATGAGAATATAGAGATTGATTGCACATACAATGTTAGAGTAAAAAAATAAAAAAAAAGAAGAAGAAGAAAAAAAAAAAGGAGAAAAATAAAGGAAACGGAAGAAATAGTAAATATTTAAATTTCGCGAGTTCTCACGGCAGTAAGTTTTCGGAAGAGACGTTGTAAACTATGCATGTCGGGCGCCAGTTAGGCGCGTGAATACCAGAGTACATAATATAATATACGTTTGTATTACGTTTGACGCCTTGTGCACAAGCTCACATGCGAATAAATGTATTTTATATATCTATATATATGTGATGTGTGTGCGTGTGTGTATGCGCGAGCTACATACATACACATTTATTCAAAACATGAAAATCGTGTTCATTGTATTTTAACATAAACATGTTTATACATCACCGGTCAAGAGTTTGGAATCAGGAACGTATATTCAAAGAAACAGGAAATTTGTATTAACAAAATAAACAACTTCGGAGTAACCAAAAGAGATAGATTTACTACGTGTAATATTTTTTTTCTTTTTTTTTTTTTTTTTCATCAAAATAATATATATACCTTTATTTTTAATAACAGTATTATATACAATGTATTCTTGGTCATTTTGATAATTAATTTTTAATTCTATATTTTTCCATATCTTTTTTATAGAAGGTGTCAAAGATGTTCGAGTAAAAATGTGTTCATTGTTTTATATTTGTTGTATAAAACCATATATACAAAATTATATTTACGTATATAAGAGAAGATAATATAAAAAATTGTTGTAATACGTAATTTAATATCATTTAAAAATTGAATATTCAATATTAATGATTAAATCAACGAAAGGATATTCTTAACTTTTGGCTGATAGTGTATATAACTTGTGTGTATAAATTCACACGTATTTAGAGACGAAAACATTTATATTCGAATATTCGTATGTATGTATGTAACGTAAATGCAACGTAATGCAATTTTTGCATGTGTGTATTAATGTATGCG